TAACTAATAATATACTAATAATAACTAATAATAAACTTAATAATAAAACTAATACTACAACTCATTCTATAACATTTTCGTCCCCTTTAAGAATAAACTCCGTGAATTCTAACTTCTCTTAGCAATGTCGAAAAGTCTTCTTCATTCAATTCTTCTAAGTTACTAAAGGTAATCGTTGTAGTGGAATAAAGATAATGTAATCTACAAACTTGGAGAAGTTGATAAATTCGTTTAGCACATTTTCATGCTCGGGCAGCACGTCTAGGTCCTAGAGCTTTTCTAAGATTATTATGAATCTTCTGTATCTTGTCCTTACTATTATCAGCTTCTTTATTTAGCTATTCTAAATAATAAGATGTTTCTAACATTCGAATCTGTTGGTTACGTGATTTTCCACAGCTCTCTTCTTTTAATCAACTAACAATTTCTCTGAGTTTTTCTTTAAAGTTTATTCCAATTAAAGGGTTGTGTCGAATAAAAACTTCTTCTTTGACTTCTGTGAGGTCCTTAATAAGTCGAGTAAGAACTTCATTTTCTGTGTCTCGTATTAGTACAATATCTGCATCAGGTTGCGAAGGAAGTATATCCAATTCTTCTTCTATAGGTTCGATAGAAAAAGTAAGATCGTCAAATGCTATATCTGGAAAATAATTATTTAATACATTGGCATTTTCCAAATGTTGTGTGGGTAGGTCTGGTTCTGTTTCTGGTACGTATTGAAATGATGTAATAATATCAGTTCTATCATATACTACAATAGAATTTCCAGTTACAATTAAACTATTGTTTGCGGCAAGGGGGTCCTGATTCTATGGTACAAGAAAATTATTTAAAGTATCTATGGTCTGGGGCTGTAATTGTTGTAAGGTGGGAATTTCCATTTTCAAGATATTGGATGAAAATTTACCAAATTGGGGAATGGAAATTTTGATGCAAAGGGTATCTATTTATAAAGTTTTATAGTAATACGAATATAATTAAGGGATTTTCGAAATGTTTGCTTGTGTATCCCATATGGAATATCTTTGTCTACTATAATTGTCAAACAAGTTTTTGTTTAACCGTGTGCTCTGGATCTTCAATTCTAAAAATAAAAATTCTACAATGTTCTATTAATTAAAAATTCTTTGTCTGTCCGTCCCCTTAAAAAGTGAAGTCTCTGAACTTCATGTGCTAATTTGTCCAAAATTAGCATCTAATTGTCTATAGATTTCCTATTTTAGCAATCACATTATCAGTTGCGATTGTGTTTCTGCATGTATCGTATGATCTTTCGTTACGGCTAATTGTGTTTTTCTGTTATTTAGTCCTTGATTTCTGGCATTCGTCGTATCCAAAATTCTTCTTTTCACAACTTTCTGGTCCTTATCTTTTCTTTTTCTTTTTCTTTTTTCTTGTTCTAAACTTTTTCTAATATTTTCGTCTTTTCTTCTTGTAGTTTTATCGAAAACTTTTGTCTTTGTCTTGTCTTTTTCTTCTCGTTTATCTTGTTGTTATTCAAAGGTGTGTATACTTGTTCTGGCTGTGCGCTAAGTCTCGTCTAATTTAGGTGCATGGGGCTTGGCCGTCTTCTACTTAGGTGCGCTATGTAGTTGGCCCTAGTAGATATTTTTCCCTTTGTTTTTCCTCTTTTTCACTTCAATACCTGTGGTCTCTTGTGCAGGTAGGATAAGAACTTATGTCCATTGATATTGCAAGTAATAGACCTTGCTTGTTGTATTCTTGGAATAAGGTTCTTTCCAATTGTTTCTTTTATCATTTCCAAGTTTATATGCTTAGGAATAAGTTGTTTCTAATTAAGTTTTGCTTTGTAGATGCCTCGTCGGGGTAAAGGAAGTTCGGTTCCAGATCGTTTGTCGGTGCTCCAAAATCAAGTTATAAGTTTAGAGGCAGAAGCAGCTGAAAAAAATTCTTCAATCTTAGAAGCGGCAAGAGAAAGTTTCATACGAGAAACTCGGCTTCAGAATCTTAGAATGAAAAGGGATAGGCTACGTGTTCGGGTAGCAAATTTGGAGGATGAGGCACAAGAATTAAGAAGGAGGGTACAAGAGAATAGTAATAGTAATAGTAATTATTTTTGTAATATTTTGAAAATAGAATAGGATAAATAAAAATAAAATTTTAAATCTAATAGTAATAAAATTGTAATAATAAAAGTTGTAATGATAATAAATAAATAACTAAAATAATAAAATTTGTCGTTAAAACTTTAAATACTGTTCTAAGTATGAGTTAGGATTTGGGGTTGAAAAGTGTTAATTGTTAATGACAACAGTAGGTTGCCAGTTCTGTTTCTCATAGTAGCGGGCAAGATGATCACTATTATAATAACCTAATAGTGTTTTGCCTTTTAATGTCGAAAGCTTGTATGCTCCATTATTTAGTTTCGCTTGGATAATAAAGGGTCCAGTTCGTTTTTCTTCGAATTTAGCAGATCGAGAAGCTTCAATATCTTTTCGTTGTATTCATACTTTATCTCCAATTTCAAACTTTTCTATTCGAATTTTCGAATCGAATCTTACTTTCTGTTTCTTTTGAGATCGTTCAGTATTCTTTCGAGCTTCACTATATTGATAGGGTAGTTCGTCCATTAACTCAAATGCTCGGGATAAAATACTATCTTCTAACGATATTTCTTTATCTGTTTCTTGTGGTTCAATTGGGAGAGTAGCTTCAATAGGTAGTATAGCTTGTCGTCCATATACTAATTGAAAAGGTGTATATCCAGTAGTTGCATGTCGTTTAGTCCTATATGCGAATAAGACAGCTGGTATATGTATATCCCAATCTTCATTTGTTTCTTTTACTTTTGTAAGAGAATTGCAAAGTGTTCGATTTAGACATTCAACCATACCATTGGTTTGTGGGTGGTATGAAGAAGAGAATATATGTTTGATCAAGAACTTATTACATAAGATCTTGACAGTATCACTAATAAAATTTCGTCCATTATCAGAGAGTATCATCTTGGGTACGCCATGTATACATACAATTTCTTCGAATATAAATTTAGCTAAAGTTTCGGCTCCAGCATCTGGTACAGCTCTTGCTTCAGACCATCGAATAAGGTAATCAGTAGCGGCAATAATATACCAATTGTTTTGAGCAGTTATTGGTAGGGGTCTCACAAGATCTATACCAATACGTTCAAAGGCTTGTCCAACTTGAATAGGATGAAGTGGTTCTTTTCGTCTACCTTTCTGTCTCTTCTGACAGATTTCACATAAGCGAATATAGTTCTGTATATCTCTATACATTTGGTCCCAATAATATCTCTCAGATATTTTATAATACATAGCATCAGTTCTTAAATGTCCAGCGGTAGGATGACTATGTATCATATAGAGAACAGGCTCTACTTCGGTCCATTTGATTACTCGAATAGGTTTGTCTGGATCTTTTCGATTTTTTTTGTATAATAATTTGTCTGAGTTGATAATATTTTGATTGTCTAATTAGTGTCCGTTTTTCATAGTCTGTTAAGTCAAGAGGAATCTTGTCTGATTCTAAATAGTTTACTAAATTCTGATAGTGATCCAAATTCATGTAGGGGCAATAGGTATAGGTTGTGTCTGGTTCTCAAGTCGTGATAATGCATCAACATTGGAATGGATTCGTCCAGGTTTATATATAATAGTGAAGTTATAAGGTTGTAACTTAATTATCCATCAGCCTAATCGTCCTTTGGGTTGAGATGATTTTAATCATTTAAGAGTGGAATGGTCAGTGATTAGAGTAAAATGGTCAGTTCCAAAATATTTGTGAAAATGTTCAATAGCCCATACTATAGCAGCACATTCTAGTTCTGTGGCTCCATAGTTAATTTCTTCTTTCTTCAAACTTTTACTTGCATAAGCAATAGGGTGTTCTTTTTGGTCATCTGAAATTTGACTCAAGGTGGCTCCGAATCCAATATAAGAAGCATCGATGGCCAATATAAACTCTTTCTTGTAGTTAGGATAGATTAGTATAAGGGCAGTAACTAATCTCTATTTGAGTTTATCAAAAGCTTTTTGACAACTTGAACTCTATTCATAAGGAATATCCTTATGCAATAACTGATTAAAAGGTTGAGCAATAGAAAGTAATTTGTATATAAAAAGATATAGTTTGTATATCAAATAAGGTAGCTGCGTAATGCAGTTGCACTAGAAACCAGGAACGAAAATAAAAATACTGTTGGCCTTCTCAAAACCAATTTTGTTAAAACCAATAACTTGCAATAGGCAATTAAAATTTGATTTACTATGTTGGTTTTAGTAATTGGATCTAGGTGGGGGTGCTATCTAGGTTACCTGCAGCAGGGATGTTAAAATTGGAGGTCATTTGCCTTTTTTTCAAATGACCTAGGTCATTTCAGACTAAAATTCATAATAAATTTGGGGTCATTTGAGGTCATTTGAGGTCATTTGAGGCCATCCCTACATGATGATCCGACCTATAGCCTATGAAGTTTATTTATTTATTTATTTTTTTTACAACAAAAAAAAACAAAAATGAAAAGAAAAATATTTATCAAAGATAAATACTGAATAAGCAAACTTTTGTAATCGCAATTGAATCAACAATTATTCCAGTATTAACATATTTGCACAAATCGTAAGACATGAGTGATATTGATAACAGGCATGTTTTTCAAATGTCAGTAATGGAAAAACTTCTAAACAAGACGGCAACACCCAAGAAATCATGTACTAAACTTTTGCGAAATACAATTCATAAAAAGTTACTCTATGAGCTTAAATGAAATCTTTATTTAAATTGATATTCTACGTTTATAAAAATATATAAAACGAATGTCAATATAATTATTTGAAATTGATTTATTCTGTAGTCGAAATGTAAAAAAATCGTTCGTGACTCGAAAAATATTAATATACACGATCAAATTAAATAATTATTGGATGTGGTTTTTTATTAAATATTGTATCTATTCAATATTTGATTGTTTTATTTACATAAAAAATTTAATTTATTGCTTTTTTTTGTAAATATAAACATAATAAGGAAAAATAAATAAATACGAATGAATTGATGATCATTAATAATTGTCCGAAGGACATTACGGTAGAGGCATAGTGACCTGTTTGTGTGTGTGTTCGCAAATTAAGGGTTTTGATTGGTTGATCTGTTAAAAACAAACATTTGCTCCGAAAATACCCATTGTCGGACCTTAAATGGTTTCCATTTACCTAGTTTTAATAGTAATTATTGTTATACAATTCTACATTGTGGAATTGCATGTAGAATTGTGGAATTATTAAATCTACTAGTGCGATAGGTGGCGCTTCGCGCCACCTATCTTATTCAGTAATTTTAAGATTAAAGCCGAAACTCTTACAGAAAGTCGAAATTCTTACTAAAAGTCGAAACCATTACCGAAAGTCGAGAGTTTTACTGAAAGTCAAAAGTCTTATTGAAAGTTGAAACCCTCACTTAAAGTCGAAAGCTTTGTCAAAAGTTTTACTAAAAGTCAAAAGCCTCACCGAAAGTTAAAGTCTTACGAAAGTCGAAACCAAAAGTTGTAAGTCTTACCAAAAGTCAAAATCTTACTGAAAGCTGAAAGTTCTATCAAAGTCCTCAACGAAATTTGAATGCTTTACCAAAAGCTGAAAGTTCTACTAAAAATCAAAACCTTTACAGGTTTCACCAAAATTTGATACTCTTCTGAAAGTCGAAAGTCTTACTAAAATTCGAGATCTTTACTGATAGTCAAAAGTCTCACCAAAATTCGAAACCTTTACCGAAAGTCAAAAGCCTTACTGAAATTCAAAACCTTTACTGAAAGTTAGAAATCTCATTGAAATTCAAAATTTTTACCAAAAGTTAAAAGTTTACTAAAAGTTGATATTTTCATCAAAAGTCAAAAGTCTTATTACAGCTGTTATCATTATTTCTGGGACACCTGAAGAATATTCAGATGATCTAAATCTCCTCTGGTAAATTACTTAGCTCTCTGTAAATTACATCGCTGTCCTCGGACTGAAGGTCCGGAGACAGCGATATAGTTTCCGAGAATTTAGGTAATTTACCGAATGAAACAGAGGATATTTCGGTCATCTGAAAATTCTTCAGGTGTCCCAGAAATAATGATAAT